ACAGGGTCTCACTCTGTCACCAGGCTGGAGTACAATGGCTTGATCTCAGCTCACTGCAACCTCTGCCTCCTAGGTTCAAGTGATTCTCCCACCTCAGCCTCTCAAGTAGCTGAGACTACAGGCGTGGGCCAATATGCCTGGTTAATTTTTGTATTTTCTGGTAGAGATGGGGCTTCACCATGTTGGCCAGGCTAGTCTCAAACTCCTGACCTCAAGTGATCTGCCCGCCTCAGACTCCCAAAGTTCTGGGATTACAGGCATACACCACTGCATCTGGCCAAGTCTAACATTCTTGACGGTACTTTACCTTACACTTCATTTGTATTTCATGTTAAACATAGATAGACACTTAAAACGGTTGCTGACTGCTTTAATAAGATTATTACCAAGTACTTCCAGTTTGTGTGTGAGTGTACACATTTATGTGCGTAAGACATATGTATGTATCCAGCTCTCATGTTCTAATCATACTGTAGACAAATTAACAAATATGTAAATAAAGTAAACTTTCAATAGTCAATAACTATTGGTGTTTCACAATTCTTTTAAGATGTTGAAGTTTGGGAAATCACTAAGTAAAGTTAAAGAAATGCTTTTTCTGTTTTTCTGCAACAAAACCAAAAACAGACAAATGGGACCTAACTAAGCTAAATGGCTTCTGCACAGCAAAACAATCTATCGACACAGTAAACAGACAACCTACAGAATGGGAGAAAATATCTGCAAACCGCATCTGACAAAAGACCAATATCCAAAATCTCTAAGGGAGTTAAAAAGTAGACAAAGGGCCTGGCACAATGGCTCATGCCTGTAATCCCAGCACTCTGGAAGGCCGAGGCAGGTGGATCAGAAGGTCAAGAGTTCCAGACCAGCCTGGCCAATATGGTGAAACCCTGTCTCTACTAAAAATAAAAAAAATTAGCCAGGTGTGATGGCACACACCTGTAGTCCCAGCTGGGGATTGAGGCAAAGGAATTGCTTGAACCTGGGAGGCAGAGGTTGCAGTGAGCCAAGATCGTGCCATTGCACTCTAGCCTGGGTGACAGAGTGAGACTCCGTCTCAAAAAAAAAAAAAAAGAAAAAGTGGACAAAGGGCATGAGCAAGATACTTCTCAAAAGAAAACATACAAGTGGCCAACAGACATGAAAAAATGCTCAGTATCACTAATCGTCAGAGAAGAGCAAATCAAAACCACACTGAGATAGTCACTCATACACTGTTGGTGGGATTGTAAATTAGTTCTGCTCCTATGGAAAGCACTTTGGAGATTTCTCAAATACCTGTAAGTAAAAATAGAATTACCATTTGACTCAGCAATCCCAATTACTAGGTACATACCCGAGGGAAAATAAATTGTTCTACTGAAAAAACACCTGTACTCATGTTTATCACAGCACTATTCACAAGAGTAAAGACACAGAATCAACCTTAGCGCCCATCAACACTGACTGGATAAAGAAAATATGGTAAAAGGCTGGGCACCATGGCTTATACCTATAATCCTAACACTTTGGGAGGCCAAGGCAGGTGGATTGCCCAAGCTCAGGAGTTCAAGAACAGCCTGGGAAACATGGCAAAATCCCGTCTCTACAAAAAATACAAAAATTAGCCAGGGTGGTGGTGTGTGCCTGTAGTCTCAGCTACTCAGGAGGCTAAGGGGGGATGATCGCTTGAATTCGGGAAGTTGAGGCTGCAGTGAGCTGAGATCATGCCACTGCACTCCAGCCTGGGTGACAAAGTGAGACCTTGTCTCAAAAAAAAAAAGAAAAAGAAAACATGGTACATCTACATCATGGAATCCTACACAGCCATTAAAAAAATGAAATCATGTCCTCTGCAGCAACATGAATGTAGCTGGAGGCCATTATCCTAAGTGAATTAACACAGAAACAGAAAATCAAATACTACATGTTCTTGCTTATAAATGGGAGCTAAACACTGCGTATACATGGACATAAAGACAGGAACACAGACATGTGGACTCCAAAAGAGGAGAGGGAGGGAGCAGGACAAGGTATGAAGAACTTCCTAGTGGGTACTATACTCACTATTTGGGTAAAGAGTTCAATTGACACTCAAACTTCAGCATCACGCAATACACTGACGTAACAAAACTGCACATGTACCGCCCAAATCTAAAACTTAAAATAAATATTTTTCTCTGGTATTTGAAAATAATGTGAATGCTATGCCTACTTGTCAAGAATGTTATCCATTTGTTTATCTGATTAACTAGACAGACTTTCTAATAAAGTTACTTAACACTCTTTCAAAAAAAAGTATTTTTTGTATTTTTCACTGAAGGACTTTCCAGGGCCTTTTAATTATCTTTTCTATGTTTTAATTTTCTTTTTGAGACAGGTCTCACTCTGTTGCTCAGGCTGGAGTGTAGTGGCATGATCATAGCTCACTGCAGCCACAACCTTTTGAGCTCAGGCAATCCACCTGTCTCAGCCTCCTGACTAGCTAGGACTACAGGTGTGTGCCACCATACCTGGCTAATATTTACTTTTTTTTTTTTTTTTTTTGGTCTTTCTACGCTGACCAGGTTGGTACTGAACTCCTGGCTTCAGTGATTCTGCCTCTTTAGCCTCTCAAAGTGCTGGATTACGGGTGTGAGGCACCATGCCCAGCCCAGGGCCTTTTAAAATTTTTTGTGTTTTTATTTTTATTTCTGGAGACACGATCTCACTCCATTGCCCACTCCATTGGAGTACAGTGGCATGATCATGACTCACTGCAACTTCGACCTCCTGGGCTCAGGTGATTCTCTCACTTCAGCCTCCCAAATAGCTGGGACTACAAGCACATGCCACCATGTCTGGCTAATTTTTTGTACTTTTTGTAGAAGCAGGGTTTCAACGTGTTGCCCAGACTGGTCTCAAACTCCTGAGCTCAAGCAATTCACCTGTCTCAAAGTGCTGGTATTACAGGCATGAGCCACTGTGCCTGGCTGCCTTTTTAATAGCAAATATTCATCACCAATTTCTAAAAAGGGAAATCACCAGGAACTTTTATTAGCTCAGAAAACGCCCCCCTTTTTTTGTAAAGGAAGAGTACTTTATCTAGACTAGGGTTCTACATAAGAAATTTCTGGTCATCTAGAGCAGTAGTCTTCAAATTTTTAAAATTCATTTATCTCCCAGAATTGATAAAAACTATGTATCCCTTGTACATTTTGGGGTTGAGATCTACATTTTATGTATTTAATGGCTGCAAAAGATATAATGGATAGGATATACAAATACTGTATATTGTATGTATGCTTTAAAGATATTTAAAACTTGGAGATGTGGAATTAGTTCACTCAATTAATTAAAAACAATACCTATATTCACAAAGCTATTGTAACAAAAAAAAAAGAAAAGAAAAAACACTGCCTTATAACATAATCAGCAGAGCCAGACTTCATGGTCATTATCAATTAGACACATATGAATCACTTCCTGTCAGGAAAAGTCCAACTTCAATTTTCTTGTTTCTTTTTTGAGATGGAGTCTCATTCTGCTACCCAGGCTGCAGTGCACTGGTGCCACCTCGGGCCACGGCAACCTCCGCCTCCCAGGTTCAAGCGATTCTCATGCTTCAGCCTCCTGAGTAGCTGGGGCTACAGGCATGTGCCATCACAACTACCTAATTTAACATCTGGCTAATTTTTGTGTTTTTAATAGAGATGGGGTTTTACCATATTGGCCAGGCTGGTCTCAAACTCCTGACCTCAGGTGTCCGCCTCTGCCTCCCAAAGTGCTGGGATTACAGGTGTGAGCCACTGTACCCGGCTTCAATTTCAATTTTCACTGCAAAGAAATACGTTAATATGTTCCATGACTGCCATCTTAGTTCTATATTCTACACTAGAAAAATAAGAAAGGGGCTGGGCATGATGGCTCAGCACTATAATCCCAGCACTTTGGGAGGCCAAGCTGGGCAGATCACTTGAGGTCAGGAGTTCGAGACCAGTCTGGCCAACAAGGTGAATTCCTGTCTCCACTAAAAATAACAAAAATTAGTTGGAGGCAGAGTTTGCAGAGAGCTGAGACCATGACACTGCACTCCAGCCTGGGTGAAACAGCAAGACTCTGTCTCAGAAAAAAAAAAAAAAAAGGAAGAAGAAAGGGTGGCATGAGTAGTAGTATTAGGGGAGAAAAGATAAAAGAGATAACTGATAACAAAAAGGAAGAGATGACTGGAGAGGCACATGAGTTTGTGCCCCAACCCTTCAATATTTCTCATAGATGGTATACATTCTAAAAATTTCTCTCTTCTGTGCCTCTAAGGCATACATATCTCAGAACAATGCATCACTGTAATATTCAGGATGGGTGAGAAGTCTTTCTTTTATAAAGCAAGAAAAAGGACCAAGTGGGAAAGAAGGGCCTAAGTCACCACTCTCAGCACATATAAAGAGGACATATATGGAAGTTAAAGATCTGAAAAATTATTTCCTTAAAACTTGCTGATAAATACATAATAAATTATTTATAGAAGAAATAAGATGATGTCTGGGATTTGTTTCAAAATTCTGGGTGGCAAGGGATGAAAAGGAAGCATATAGAGCAGAATTGGCCATGTGATAATGTTGCTGGTTTGGGTGACTGGTATTTAAGTATGTAATGATGGTATCATTCTTTAGTCTACTTTTATATATGTTTGACAAAATCAACTACTAGTCTTTAAGTACTCTTAAACTGAAGATCAGTGATACATAGTAAATATAAAGAAAGCATACAAATTAGAATTTAGATGTCTGCCCCTACTGAATTTTATTTAATTTTTTTCATTCTCACATCCAACATATGATACAGAGAGTAATACAAAAGCAAATGTGCCCAGGACAAAATGAAAACATAGGGAGATGTGGCTGAGCACAGTGGCTCATGCCTGTAATCCCAGCACCTTGGGAGGCCGAGGCGGGCAGATCATGAGGTCAGGAGATCGAGACCATTCTGGCCAACATGGTGAAACCCCATCTCTACTGAAAATAGAAAAATTGGACAGGTGTGGTGGCACATGCCTGTAATCCCAGCTACTCGGGAGGCTGAGGCACGAGAATCGCTTGAACCCAGGAGGTGGAGGTTGCACAGTAAGGTACTGCACTCCAGCCTGGGTGACAAAGTGAGACCT